AGTCGAGCCTTTCTGCAGTATTTAGCACTGAAATATAACTTTGTCATCCTGAAATATATTGTGTCCCTAGACGCCTGTAAACGCTCCATCCATCCAGGGTACAGCCACTTTTCATGTTGTAGTTCCCTACCAGTCAGTGTAACATCCTCATCTCACAGCTCACAGCTGCTAAGCATGAACCTGTGAACAATATCTGTTCCTCAGCATTTCCTAATTAGCTCTTTAAATCAACTAGGCTTCAGCATATGGAGGAGGGGGGTAAATTATGTAACAATTGGTTATTGATTTTAAAGAGTCGATCAGTGCCCTGTTGAAAAGTCAAACACATATGGATTTTTAAAGCTATTTAATTTGACAGCTATTGTGGAGCCGCCACCAGCATCCTCTCTTCATGTTTATGCTCTGTGCATATACTGTACCTCCTGTTTCCTATCCCAGAGGATTAAACAAACCACCTAACTGTTATTTCCCCATTTGTCTTTCAGATATTTCCAGGATTGCCTACTACACAGGTGAGTAGCTGACCATCACATACCCGCTACAGCATTCAAACGTTCAGCTACTTCATTCACTTTTACATAGTTTACTGCAGCAACTCAAGTGGGATTATGTGACTGTGAGCAGATAACATATTAGCAGTTTTATAAAATACTTTTAAATGAAGGTCCACCTACTTGTTTTTAAGAGGACCTTGAGTTAAGGACACTTTGTCAGTGATGAGGAGGAGTAGTTTTAGTTCATTTTCTAGATTATAATGTCAGTATTTTACAAAAGGAACAAGCCTATAAATTGCACATGTGTGATGTTTCTCAAGCATCTTATAATCTGCACTAATACTAATGAGGAGATGGTACTAATTGCTTATAATTATGTGGGTCATATTTGTGGGTGCACACGACAGCTATACAAGAGAGAAAACAGACAGTGTCGCAATTTATCTGTGTTTAAGGGTGTGTTGGTCACATTAGTGTAGCTTGGGAAGAGTGAGAGTTAATATCGCTTGAGTTGAGTATGTGTGACTAATTGTGTTCTTCTCACTATGGGTACCGGAAACAAAATATGCTCTTTGAAGACACTTGGACATACCAGTTGAACTCCCAGTAACCCCAATGTTCCTACTGAAATAAAATGAGTAGGTGAACATGTTTATGTAGCATTCCCTGAAAGCAGGCTTTGCTGGCCACTTCTCTCAGATGAATTAATTTATTATTTTTGATCTTTTGAGCCAAAACACAATGCTGAATGTTTGCCCAACAAATTGATAGGATATCCATAACAAGACGAGTATGACTTTTAAAGCTTTTTGCTCCCTCTGATTATAAACACAGTGGGGCAAATAAGTATTTGATACACCACCTATTTTTCAAGTTTTCCCACTTACAAAGAATGGACAGTTCTGTAATTTTCATCGTAGGTACGCCTCAACTGTGAGAGACAGAATCTACAAAAAATTCCAGAAAATCACATTGTTAGATTTTTAAATAATTTATTTCCATTTTATTGTATGAAATAAGTATTTGATACAATAGAAAAATAGAAACTTAATATTTGGTACCGAAACCTTTGTTTACAATTACAGAGGTCAGACGTTTCCTGTAGTTGCTGACCAGGTTTGCACACACTGCAGCAGGGATTTTGGCCCACTCCTCCATACAGGTCTTCTCCAGATCTTTCAGGTTTTGGGGCTGTGGCTGGGCAGCACGGATTTTCAGCCCCCTCCATAGATTTTCTATTGGGTTCAGGTCTGGAGACTGGCTAGGCCACTCCAGGACCTTGAAATGCTTCTTATGGAGCCACTCCTT